ATCTCTGCGCCTTGCTGCCTCCCTTCTCCTGTCTGTAATATGGCAATGGCAACCATGCCTATGTTGCAGGATTGCTGTCAGGATTGAGTGAGACAGTGCACAGTAAGCCCCCAGAAGTCTTTTTCAGATTTGAGATGGTTCCAGGCCAGATCTTGTCTGGGGGGCTCGGAGGAGATGGGGGGAAGCCTTCTCCATATGCCCCCTAAAGTAGTCCCTGGCTCTTCTGTTACCCACCACCCTCAGCCTTTGCACCCTTCCAAGAGCCTCCCCAACCTCAGCTTTGCTCCGAAACTGCACCTCCTCTTCCCTTGGAACCCCAGGAGCAAAGGTGGCGCTAGGCCTTTTCAAACCCCCAGACCCAGATGCCACCGGTACCCGCACTGCGGCCAGCTGATGTTTGACTCTGCCCCGAATATTCACCGAATATTAATTCAGCGCCTTTACTTGCCAAGGCTGCCGTGCTCTCTCCCGCGCCGGAAATGGTGGGGGAAGGGAGGGGTCCCTAGGTCCTGAGCGAAGGGCCAAAGAGAGAGAGGGTCTCCCAGGAGGGCCCGGGCTTGAGCAAGGTCCAAGGGAACCCCGACCTAAAACGAGTGTGGGCGGGGTGGAGGGCAGGGGTGCGCGCGGCCTCGGGGTACCAGCGACCCCACTCCAGGTGCCGCATCCGGGAGGGCCGCTCCCGGAGCCGGGCCTGGGCCGGGAGCGCGGCGGCGGCGGCAGCGGCGGCGGCTCCTGCTGCTGCGTGACCAGGTAGGTGGCGCCCCGGAAGGCCCAGCGCTGAAAAGCCGGAAGGCGGGAGGGTGGGGCCTGCGCGCCGGGAGGGGCGGCCTGGTGTCCCTGCGCCTGCTGGCCTGTGACCTCGCGGCGCCGCCTCCGCAGGTAAAGGGCTCCGAGCTGCTGGAGCCGGGAGGGGGAGGGGCGCCCGGAGCGGCTGGCGTGCCAGTCGGCCTCGGGCCTGGCTCTCCCGTGCCGGGCGCACGCTATTCGTGCATTCATTTTCTATATGGAGAATCGGGGTACACGGAGGGCTGTGTGTGCGTGTCACCTCCCGCCCGAACTCCTGTGTGTGCGTGTGCCCGCGCGTGTGACTTCCCGCAGGAACCGCGGTGCGTGTGGCTGGTGTTATATCCGCAGGGCGGAGCACCCTTGGCCTTGCCCTCTGGGAAGAGAATCTGGACGCTAGTTTAGAGATGATCAGGAAGGAATGTTACCGATTTAGGGGCTGGGGGAGATTAACTTTGTGGGGACTGGTAGCTTCTTTAGCCTTTAAAACAAACAAACAAAAGAAATAGGAATATTTTGAGAGGGTGTGAAGCGACCTGCTCATGGGCCAGGTAGGTAGGTAAGGTGTGCTCCGCTAGGGTCCTGCTCGGCTCTGGCCTGCGTTGCTGCAGATGGCAGCCCCAGTGTGGCTTGTGCTTTTGACTTTTCAGGAGAAATCACAAGTCTGAGGTGTATGTGAAATCTCTTGTTTTTAAAATTCTGGCAACTAATTCGTTTTTAAAAAGTCTGTGGGCTAATCTGACAATGTTTGCCGATGGGATCCAATCTTTGCCCTGGGGCATAGAGAGGTGGAAAGACATGGTTTATAGGAGCCAGTGGGTACACTGGAGCTTTGTAAATTTCACCAGCAAAGTAGAAAGTACTGAGGATTGCAGGTGGGCAACATCACTCTGATTCTTAAGAGGCCCTGCTTTTCTAATTTTTAAAAAGAGCTGTGTGCATGGAGGTCTGTGTTAGCTCTGCAGCCTTCCTCTCCTGATCTCTCACAATCTGGTCCACCTCAGAAAGCCAGGCTATATAGTCTCAGGGACGGGCTCATCTCCCTCTCCCCCAGATCCCTGCTGTAATTGGCAGAACAGCCTGGGTGCTTACACGAAACCAGGGCTTCACGTTGGCATTTGCCTCCCCTGTGGCTGGCAGATGGGCTTCCTGTGACCGGAGCCTGTTTCGTGGACCAATCTGATTCTGAAATAGGTGTGATATGGGGGGAGGCACACTCCCGCCCCATTGAGGTCTGTCCCCATCAGAATGCTCCTGTCTCCTCCCTCCTCACCCACTTCTCTACTGCTTACAGACAAAGGCAGCTGGAGTGGGAGAAGAAGCAGCAGGACTGGCTTCCTTCCTCAATCTGGCAGCCCTGGAGAAGTCGGGAGGCTGAGCTTTTAGCAAGGGCTCGGGAGATGGGGCTGCAAACCTTTCTTCCACAACAAGAGTCTATTGATGCTCTAACTTCTAAAATGATTCTTACAAGGAAATTAAACCAGCATTCCCTTGGATGGAGGCAGCCACAATGCCACCTCTCTACCCATGGTGTGGAACCACTGAACCCAGCTGGAGTCAGGCCACTTCCTTGCCTCCCTTCCCACACACCATGACACCTGCTGGCTCTCCAGTCCTACAGAGCTCTGGGCTTGTGCCTTGTGCTGGCCCAACTGGGCTAAGTGGAGGTTGGAAGTGGCGTTTGCACAGTGATGTCTCATTAGCCCCTGTGGGTTTCGACCTAAAGTCATTCAGAGCAGGTTGGAAACTTTTTTTGGTTATTGTTTTGTGGGGTTTTTTTTAATAGACAGTAGAGGGTGAAGTGGGTATATATCTATTTCCTTCCTCTTTTACATACCTTTTCTTGCTGTGCAGAAACTGTTTCAAGAGTACAGATCCATAATTCTGCAGAAAACCTGTTTTAGGCGTGGCATCTGGGCAGAGTACACTGGGCTAGAAGCCAGACTTGCAGATCAAGCATGGCGAGGCTCAAGGTCTTCATGCCTCTGGGAGCGGGAGGCTCATTGCAGCCTCCAGAGGGGCCTTCGAGGGACCTGCGCTTCATCTCCCTTTTTTCGGCATAAGTGACAGATAAAAAGCTGGATATAAACCAGAGCTAAGCTAGAAGGTGACTAGATATTTTACAGGAGGATTTTTAGCTTTTTGAAAGGTTTTACCATGAAATTAATTCCTTTGGTTATCTTAATATGTACTTGAAATTAAACTTTTTGTTTGCATAGCTTTACAGGACCATGGCTTTTGGGTAAATCAGGTTACTCTCTCTCCCCCCATTTCTGAGTGCAGTTCCTTCGCTGTTATTAATGCTATAATGTTATCTTGACATTTGTGCCTGGAAAATTCTTGACCTCTGGAAGGGTGTTAGGGGGCGCTCTTGCAGGGAGGAGGAGGGGGCATGTGCTCTGTCTACACGTGGTCACTGCTGGTGAGCAGAGGGGCCTGGAAGCTAGCAGGCATTTTAGCAGATCCAGGACACTTGGGAGCCAGAGCAAGGACAAACACTTGAATTCTCTTCTAGTCCCTTGGGCAACTCTTCAGGACAGCCCTTCCACTGCCTCTCACACCCCTGGTGAACAGACACATCTGGGGGATGCCTCTTTGCATTTCTGAACTCAAGGACTGAGTAACAGACGTCAGACATCTTGAGTCATGCTCTCATAGACTCTTGCTGTCCAAAATGAGGGCAGAAGATCACCTGGGGGTGCTTGTAAATACAGAATCTCACCCTGCCCATAGGGGCCGTGTTTAACAAGATCTTCAGTGACTCCTATGCACTGGTGGAGAATCACTGATGTCAAGAATATAAAAGGAAAAGAGGGGAAATTTACAGGGGCTGGAGCACAGGATCCCTCTTACCTCTCCTGGGACTACAAAGACGTTCTGACTGGTGATACAGGAGATCCACAGATTTGTTCTAAGGGCTCAGAATTCTCTCTCGGGATTGGGAGGATAATTTTACATTAGAGACTAATTCTGGATTATCCTTGGGTTTAAAAAAGAAACCTCATATATCCAAAAGATATTGAGTAATAGAATCTGCTCCAAACTTCCACAGTCAAGTTCCTTTAGTGAATGTTTGCATGTCTCAGCCTTAAATGAAAAGGGAAGTGTTGGTGAGAAAGGAAAGTGCCCACTGAGCCTTGGGTCTAGCCGAAGCTGGAAGGAGAATCACCTGCTCATTGCTGCTTTGATTTTACTTCCTATCCTGCCAGGTGGCCCGTCAGTGCCAAAGCTCTCCATTCCCACCAACCTTGGGGCGGGGCCTGCCCTGCCCTTACCCTTGCCCCTGCCTGTCCTTTTCCTGCTAGCGTGGCAAACAGTTTCCTGAGCCCAGAGAATTGTTCTAAAGGTCATTGTTCCAAAGTACATCCATCCATCTGTCATCTGTCCATCCATATGCAAACCCCTGGAATTCTTTGATTTCTTTTATTCTCTGGTCGTTTCATCTTACTATATCATCCTATCCTTGTCTTTGATGTCTCATGAGTAGAACTGGATTGACTCTATGAGTGGTTGCTTATAGAAGCCAGTGGTGTATGTTAGGAACCAAATGTTCATTTAGAGCCATCATGTCTGAGAGTCTGCAGTGTTCCAGACTCACTCCAGGCACTTTGCTTCCATTCTACTTACACCTTGCAAGAATCCAGCCTGTAGGTGGTTTATCTCCATCTTACAGGTGAAGAATCTGCCATTCTGCTCAGGGCCATCCAGTGGGTGAAGGCTGTGTGGTTGCAGAGTCCTGTGCTTTCCCCTTCTCTGGCTTGGCGTGGGCAGAGATGCCCTGTCACACAGGAGACGACCAGGGGCTGGGACTTTGTGCACTTGGCCAAGGTTTGTGCTCGGGGATTGCCTGAGCCAGCTGAAAGGCCCTGATGCAAGGGAGCTCAGACTTGCCTCACTCGTGATGAACTGGTGGAACATGTGACCAGGGTTGCTCCTTAACCTGTTGTAAATCAGAAGTTAATCAGAGGGCAGAGAAGACCTTTCATCCACTCTGCTGATTCAGTGTGCTTATTAACTGAAAGCTGCCCTGCTTTCTCTTTGGCAAAGGACTTGGCACATGACTGGGGGGTGCTGTCATCGTGCATACAGCAGAGATACTGTTCTGTACCAAAAATGGTGAACCTTCCTTAAAACTTTAGGAAGAGTAACATTTGGGTAGAAATACGCTTCACTCATTAAAACTCTCCTTTGGAATGCTTCCTTCAAGGTCTGCTGCAATGCCCGTCGCGGTGGAGGACATCATGAGGCTGCTGTGCTCCATCTCTGAGGAGAGGAAAATGAGGGCGGCCGTCAGGCACTCCGGGAGGGGCGCCCTGGTCACAGGGGCTGTGGCCTTCGTTGGTGGTTTGGTGGGCGGCCCACCAGGACTAGCCGTTGGTAAGTGCAAGTGCCTCACAGGGACAGTGCAGTTGTTGGGAAAAAAAGACCTTTGAAACCACAGAGACCTCATAAAAGCCTCTGTCCTGTGTGAGAAGTTTGTTGAGTTGAGGTTGCTTCTGTGAAATGATCTTTGGGTACATAAGTCGTCCTGTTAAAAACACGAGCTTCTGTGTGAATGTCTCAGAAGTGCAGGGCTCTCTCAAATGGCATCTGTCATGCAGACCTGGAGGACACCTTTCCCCCCAGGGATGTGTCCTAGAGTCTGAAGATTTCAGGGTGTCCTGGGTCCCTTGGACAGTCTCCCTCCCCCCATCACCATTACTGCCAGGCACCTACAGGGGGCTGATGCTGTAGAGCCACTTTACATAAGCTCGTTCCCAGAGCGCTTCCCCATTCTGAAAGCAAGCAGTCCAACGCAGAAAAAGCAATAAGCTAACTCCTGGAGTGATCATCCCTGTCCCCTTCTTTTACCACCTGCTTCTATTTGGGAACCCGTTTCTGGCAATAAATGAAACTTTGGCTGATTTTCCCATCATTCATTTTTGCTAGAATGAAGTTGCTTCCTTTGGATTAGGAGCCAGAATAATTCCTCTGTGGCCCAAACCATGGGCTAGGGGTGGTGTCAGAGAGCTGGCTGCTGTCCAGGCCTGACTTGAGGAGGGGCCAGATAAGGCCTCCCTCGAGGTGCCTCAGATGGACCCTGCAACACAGGGGCATCGGCTCAAGGCATGGTCTGCTGCATTGGGCTCAGTAAATATTTACTGAATGCCTCCTCTGTGCCAGGCAGCCTGTGGTGGGATACAGGGCCTGGGAAAGCTCACAGTCTGGTGGAAGTCCTTTCTATATGGCTTGCAGTCTTCACATGAATACAGGCTGGAGAGGTGACTGCTTTTCTGCTGAGGTTGGTTTCTGTGTCCCAGCTCACCAGTAAGGCTTCCTGCTCTGTTCTTCCCTCTGGTAGCAGCGTTGGCATTCAAGGACACTGTATTAAGCTGAGCCCACACCGGGGAGAAAAATCAGCTTGTGGGTGGCCCCAGACCTTCCATCTATGCATTTCCGTTTCCAAACTCTGTGAATTAGTGAGTCTTGACTTCAGCTTCTTGCCATCCAGGAAGTAGCCTGTGAGGGAGGGGACAAGGCCATTGCCTTCTTCCTCAGTGACATCCTATATCTTTGTCCCACCCCATCTAATGTGCTCAGGGAAGGCTAGCTGGGATCATTTATCATATAGCTCTGCCCAAATGCCATTTTGGGAGGACATATTTTATTCAGATTGAGTAAAAGCTGGTAGAGAACAGGATGTCTGTAAAGAGAACCCCAGGGATTCGCTACTTGCAACCACTGGTCATGGGCAGGAGCATCATTTTACCCAGAAAACAAAGGAATTTTCTCTTCTCCAAAGAGTTGGTAATTTTCTGGTCGATATTTCCTGGCGACTTTTTGCGTTAAGTGCTGCTCTAAATCAAATATTGATGTTCTCATAAAGGTTTAGTGCAGATGAGTGCAACTCTTATCAGCTCTTAAGTGTTTCACTGGTGTCATGGGGAAAAGTTCAGTAAAACTTGTAAATGACTGGCCCTCCCTCCCTAGAATGCTCCTTATTTTCAGACTGGGGGGGAAGCTGTCTAAGGGCAGTGTTCAGCCTCTAGGACATGAGGCTGGCTGGTCCCCAGAGAAGGTGTGTGCTACCAGGTGCCTCCACACTTGGTTTCCTGAGATGATGCAAGATTTACTTACTGTTGGCTGAGTCCAGCTTGCAAATGGGTTCTCCGTGGCCTGGGCTGCATTCTTTTAGATAAACTTTTTATTTTGGAATAATATTAGATTTACAGAGAAGTTGCAAAGATGATGCCGAGAATTCTCATATATCTCTCACCCAGTTTCAGTTCCTATATTACCAAGGTACACTTGTCAAAACTAAGAAACCAACACTAACATTACTATTAACTATTGTTCAGACTATATTTGGATTTTATCAGTTTCTGCATCCATGATCTTTTTCTGTCCCAGACCCAGCACAAGACAGCACATTGCACTTAATCGTCATGTCTCTTCAGTCTCCCCGGTCTTGTTTTTTTTGCCCTACTCTTTTTTTGATTCCTTTCCCATATAGGCCATTACAGAGTATTGAGTAGAGTTCCCTGTGCTATACAGTAGGCCCTTATTAGTTTTCTGTTTTATAGTAGTGTGTATATGTCAATCCCAGTCTTCCAGTTTATCCCTCCCCCTTACCCCCTGGTAACCATAAGTTTCTTTTCTACATCTGTAACTCTTTCTGTTTTGTAGATAAGTTCATTTGTACCTTTTTTAGATTCCACATATAAGTGATATCATATGATATTTGTCTTTCTCTGCCTGACTTACTTTACTCAGTATGACAATCTCTAGGTCCATCCATGTTGCTGCGAATGGCATTATTTCATTCTTTTTTATGGCTGAGTAATATTTCATTGTATATATGTACCACATCTTCTTTATCCATTCCTCCATCGATGGACATTTAGATTGCTTCCATGTCCTGGCTATTGTAAATAGTACTGCAATGAACATTGGGGTGCATGTATCTTTTTGAATTATGGTTTTCTCCGGATATATGCCCAGGAGTGGGATTGCTGGATCATATGGTAGCTGTATTTTTAGTTTTGTAAGGAACCTCCATACTCTTCTCCATAGTGGCTGTACCAGTTTACGTTCCCACCAACAGTGCATGAGGGTTCCCTTTTCTCCACACCCTGTCCAGCTGTTATTGTTTGTAGATTTCTTGATGATGGCCATTCTGACTGGTGTGAGGTGGTACCTCACTGTAGTTTTGATTTGCATTTCTCTAATGATTAGTGGTGTTGAGCATCTTTTAATGTGCTTTTTAGCCATCTGTATATCTTCTTTAGAGAAATGTCTATTTAGATCTTCCACCCGTTTTTGAATTGGGTCGTTTCTTTTTTTGATGTTGAGCTGCATGAGCAGTTTGTATATTTTGGAGATTAATCCCATGTTGGTTGCTTCATTTGCAAATATTTTCTCCCATTCTGAGGGTTTCTCTGGTCTTGTTTTTCACCACTTTGATACTTTTGAGGAGTACTGGTCAGGTATTTTGGAGAGCTCCTCTCAATTTGGGTTTGCCTGATGTCTTTCTCACGAGTAGGCTGTGGTTGTGGATCTTTGGAAAGAATACAGTGGAGGTGCAGTGCCCTTCTTGTCACACATTTCAGGGACACATGACACCCACAGGACCTCCCTTGTGATGCTCACCTTGATCACCTGGCTAAGGTCATGTCCGCCAGGTTTCTCCACTGCAAAGTTACTGTTTCCCCTTTCCATACTCTACTCTTTTGAAGAAAGTCACCAAGTCCAGCTCGGCTGCGTCTTTTCAATATCTGATTGCCGATATTTAAAAATCAGGGCTTCCCTGGTGGCGCAGTGGTTGAGAGTCCACCTGCCGATGCAGGGGACACGGGTTCGTGCCCCGGTCCGGGAGGATCCCACATGCCGCGGAGCGGCTGGGCCCATGAGCCATGGCTGCTGAGCCTGCGTGTCCGGAGCCTGTGCTCCGCAACGGGAGAGGCCACAACAGTGAGAGGCCCGTGTACCACAAAAAAATAAAAATAAATAAAATAAAGTAAATAAGTAAAAATCATAAGACTTTTAAAAGATACATACTTGGTATTCCACACGGCAGCAATTGGCTGGCGTAGGGTAGCCTTGTCTCCTTTAGACAGCGACCTATCTCTCCAGGTCACCACAGTCCCATTCAGCTCACTTCACTCCTTTCAGCTACCTGCCTGGCCCCTGTAGGCACTTGAGTTTGAGACCCCTGCTCTAGGACACCTTCCTGTAGCAGACTGCACCTGACCTGGTTAAATAGACCTTTCCGTTGATACAAGGTCTTCGAATTCCAAAATAGTGTGCGTTAACTTTGATAATAATGAATTGACATTTAAAAATAATGTTTGTGCCCTTTTGGGGTAGCAGAAAGAGAAGTAGTTGAATACATTAAATTTGTTATTTATCATCATACAACTTTGGAGGGGTTGTGTATGAAAAACATTGTTTCAAGAGAAAATACCCCCTCATCTGTCTGCAGGGTCCTTTCTAACCACGTGGTTCCACTGGAAATTTCAAAGTTCAGGGCTAAGACTCATATTAGCCATCCAGTGGAGGAAACTCAGCCTCACCACTGAGATGGTTCTCCCTGAAAATGCATTTGCTCCTCAGCCCTGTTCTTTGAGATGAGAGAGATTTTTATGAGAAGCATGGAAACCTTCCGCCCACGAAGAGGATTTTAGTTAGCACAGCTCTCAGGAGGGGAGACGCTCTGTGTTGCACTGTGAGCGCAGAGCTTAGGGGAGGGCATGTTTGGGTGTCAATTATCTGAGCCAAATCGACCAAAGACCACGTCAACCTTTGCCCTCTGCCCTCCTGGCGGAGCAGGCATGAAGCCAAGCCCATTCTGACCCGCTCATGAATGTGCCCACTCGTCACAACGGTAGATGTGAACTCAGCGAGAACCTGTGGCTATCGTTTATGAATATAAATGACCGACTAATTAAGTCCTTCCTGTTTTCTAGGGGGGGCCGTCGGGGGTTTGTTAGGCGCGTGGATGACAAGTGGACAGTTTAAGCCAGTTCCTCAGATCATAATGGAGCTGCCACCTGCCGAGCAGCAGAAGCTCTTTAACGAAGCCACTGCCATCGTCAGGCACCTGCAATGGACGGACGCCGTGCAGCTGACCATGCTGGTCATGGGCAGTGAGGCCCTGCAGCAGCAGCTGCTGGCGATGCTGGCCAACTACGTCACCAAGGAGCTCCGGGCAGAAGTGCAGTACGACGACTAGGCCTCTGCTCCGGGAAGCGGGGTCCATTTAGATGATTCCCCCCGACTCATGGAAGGTGACTGGGGAGCTGCAGGAAGCCCCACATCATCAGAATATTACCCTAAACTGTAGCGAAGTCTCCTGCTGGAGAGGCTGGGGCTGTGCTATATCATGTTCTGGAATTATTGGAGAAGATGCCGTGTTTTGTGGCCGTGTGCACCTGTGTGCCCTGACAGCCCTTCAGCTGGGAAGCTGGTGAACAGTAAAGCCGTGACTGCTGCCCCGTGGCGGCAGTTTTCTGAATCTACTTTCGCTCACACAGGAGCTGGAAGAAGGTCTTCACGTTCAGCCTTCTCTCATCACGTGAAGATGACGCCTGTCCAGGCAGCCATTGCCCGACCAGCCCTCCCTTGGGACCTTGGGGCTGTCCCCTGCTGGAATCACGTTTACCTCTTGAAGGCCCCTTCCCCACCCAGTGACTTGTGAGTGGTCTCAGGGAGGAGGCAGTCGGCCTGCTGAGTGAAGCCACAAACGTCAGTGGCACCCAGCCCCTCCCCCAGTAGCTGCCTGACTGGGCTCTCGCCCTCCCAGGGGCTTGCTTTCCCCGTCTGAAAAGTCATAGTGGTTCCTGAGTTCTGTTTTTTAAATTAAATATTTTCAGTAAATTATTGCTCTTCCTGAAGTGGTAGAATCATAAACTATATCTAAGAAATGTGTCCACCCTAAGTTTCCCCTAATACTGTTTTTGCTTTGCTTTCAGAACCACAGTTTGACACGTGTCATCAAACTACAATAAATGTTTTCTGAACAGTCCTTTTCTCCACCTATTTGTGTAAAGTGTCTCTGACATTTGAAGTTGTACACATGGAGCACAAGGGAAGGAAAGGTGTCGGATTTGTGACTTTAAAGAAGGAATGAAAGCTCCGGATTCCAGGGCCTGCGACCTGACTTTCCAGGCTGCTGTGGCACCCTGTGCTGCCTGTGAGCACACACTGCCCTGAGCCTCCCTAGCAGCCACAGGATGTCCCTTGGGTCCCAGGGGCCTGGAAGGAAGCTGCACTGTCCTCCCTGGGGTGCAGAGGAAGGCACTCCTGCTGAGCAGAGTCAGTATCCCACACCTCTGTGTGTGTAAAGAAAACTTCAGGGCAAATTAGAACCCAGGGTGATTAAGGAAGGATCAAGCTTTTATCTCAGAAAAGTTGCTCTTTTTTTAAAAATAAATTTATTTATTTATTTTTGGCTGTGTTGGGTCTTCGTTGCTGTGCGCGGGCTTCTCACTGCAGTGGCTTCTCTTGTTGCGGAGCACAGACTCTAAGCATGCGGGCTTCAGTAGTTGTGGCTCGCGGGCTCTAGAGCACAGGCTCAGTAGCTGTGGCGTACGGGCTTAGTTAGTCCACGGCATGTAGGATCTTCCTGGACCAGGGATCGAACCCATGTCCTCTGCACTGGCAGGTGGATTCTTAACCACTGGGCCACCAGGGAAGCCCAGAAAAGCTGCTCTTTATCTGGCCTTATCTAGCACACATCAGGTGCCCTTTACAGGCCACACTCCTGGGGTTGATGAAGCCACTTTGGACATGTGCACTGCTTGGGTTGATGGGCGGCAGGGTGGGGTCCTTTTAGATGATTATCCTGACTCATAGAAGGTGACTGGGTAGTTATGGGGGGGGCCCCACCAATTCAACTCATGTGTTGGGTCCTACTCTGCCAGGCCCAGGGGACACAGGTGGTCCCAGCTCGGAGGTCCTGCACCAGTGTCCACTGGAGTCCCTTCCCTGGCCTGCCTACCTTTACCCTTGGGAAAACCACTCTCGGGAGGAGATGGCCTGACTCCTGACCAATTTGGGGTCAGATGAAGCAGGCCTTACAGAATAAAGTCACTGGCCTAGCCAGGTCCTGGGTGACTTGCAGTAGACTTTGGGCCCAAGAGGAGTCCAGGCCTTGAGTCTCATCTCCCCCAGGAGCTGAAAGCACTTTCCTTGCTTTCCCCTCACACTCTACTCCCAGCAACTGTGGCTTTAGTATTTCTGCATCTTCTTTGAAATTTTTTCATTTATTTATTTTTGAATAGGTAATACAAGCCTGGTACAAAACTTAGAAGACATCAGAAGATACAAATGGAAAAGGAAGGCGTCCTCCTATACTGACCCCTGCTCCAGCCCCCTTTCCAGATACAGCCACTATACCAATTTCTTGTATATTCCTTTAACTCTGTTTTTAGATAGTCATTTAATAGTATTATTTTATTTGTCAGTGTTCATTGCTGAAAACAGAAAAATTCAGAAAAGTATAATGAAATAAGAACCATTAAAAGTATCACCACCCATGGGACTTCCCTGATGGTCCAGTGGTAAAGAATCTGCCTTCCAATGCAGGAGATGAGGGTTTGATCCCTGGTCAGGGAACTAAGATCCCACATGCCTCCAGGCAACTAAGCCCGCGTGCCACAACTACTGAGCCCGCGCATCTCAACTAGAGAGCCCACGTGCCCTGGAGTCTGCACGCCACAACTAGAAAGAGAGAAAACCCACACACCACAACTAGAGAGAAGCCCGCATGCCACAACGAAGAGCCCACGCACTGCAACGGAAGATCCCGCATGCCACAACTAAGACCCAGCACAGCCAAAAAAAAAAAAAAAAAGTGTCACCACCTAGAAAGCCACTGTTAACAAATTTGGCATATTTTGTGCAAACCTTTTAATGCTATGTATGTGTATTTCTAACATATTTGCATCTTTACTGTTTAGACCTTTTTGAACACTCTTACCAATTAACATTAAATAACATTTGTGATGTGTTTTGAAATCTCTTATAAACATGTGTAATGGCTTTATAATATTCCACTGCACTAAACCATATATACAAACCTGCTGTAGTGTCCTTTCTAGGTTTTTACTATTATAGTGCTGCATTTTTGTGAACATTTCTGTGTGCATATGTTATGCACACAGAATATGTTCATATTTTTCATTATGATATAGATAGTCTGTAAGATAGATTCCTCAACGCGAAATTGCTGGATTAAAAAGTATGTAATATTTTTTAAGCCTGTTGTTCTATTCGGTCAAAATTCTTTCCAGAGGGGCAGTATCAATCATTTGCTCTCCCAGCAACAGGTTTTGGGGGTGCACATCTCATCACATCCTCACCAAGAAATAGAATGAGAGTGTCTTAAAGCTCTATTAATTTAATGGGTGATTACTGACATCTTGGTTTGAGTCATTTGTCTTTGTATTATGAGTGGGGTTGACAAGGCCAGGGTGACCACCTGGCGGCCACCTACCCAGGCAGTGCTGAGAGCCCCCGGGCCCCCATGGCCCAGGCCTAGCAGAGAGTGAGGGGCCCCTGGCCTGAGCAGAGGGCTGGCGGGGCGGTGGCGGCTTGTGGCCAGGAAGCAGCAGGGGAGTGCCAGCAGCGGGAGCCTAAGGAGGCAGCTGAGGAGGAAGCCTTGGTGGGGGACCCAGTAATTATACAAAGAAACCTTCTGCTCTGGGCCGGTTATTAACCTGCTTCAGTGTTGACACGACAGTGCCAAGTGAGATTTTTCCAGGCAGATGGTGTATTTTTAGCTGGAATGAACTTTTCTATTTTTCTGGTTTTTTGGAAGCAGACATCGGGGTGTGTTGCAATGCGGGAGGACTGGGGCTCAGGGTGCGGAGGACGGGTCCTCTCCCCGTTACTTATTGAGAGGTGCCATCTAGTGGGGAAGCGGGTGCATCCTTTCTCTTCTTCCCTTTGAGCCGGGCCTGTCGAGCCTTCTCTGAGTCTCCAGCCAGGCCAGGATGTGGCTCCACAAGGATGATGTTTTGTGAGTTCCCCTTGGGAGGGGGCTGGGGCCTTCCTGAGGTTTTTTTTTGTTTTTTTGTTGTTGTTGTTGTGGTACACGGGCCTCTCACTGTTGTGGCCTCTCCCGCTGCGGAGCACAGGCTCCGGACTCACAGGCTCAGCGGCCATGGCTCACGGGCCCAGCCGCTCCGCGGCATGTGGGATCTTCCCGGACCGGGGCACAAACCCGTGTCCCCTGCATTGGCAGGCGGACTCCCAACCACTGCGCCACCAGGGAAGCCCTTTCCTGAGGTTTTAATAAGCTATGAACAGAACATCAGCTATGTCTGCTGCAACCTTTTTGTATATAAACCAGAATGTCTCTCAGTCCTGAACAATCAACATATGGCAGTTAAGCAATGCCAGGATTCATCTAAACCACACAGGGAAGGACTGTCTGATATATTTTCAGTTTGTTGGGAGGAGATAAATGGCTTTATTCGCTGGAGGTGGCATCTTGGACCATTATGATGACGGCGGGTCAGGAGGCAAAGCTTGGGCCTGGCCGGCTGCATCGCAGCCTCGGGGCTGCTAAAGTACCCCAAATGCTGGCAAATGGAGGAAGTTACAAAATGTTTTTCTAAATTATTGAGGTGGAGGCTATTTAATTTTTGTGGGTTTTAAGGGGAGGACTTTACTTGTTCTCATTTGCAGTTGAACAAATGAAAGGATAATATCTAGGAGTTATCTGTTATACACCAATTAATTAGTATTAATGAATACACATGATCAAACGCAAAGCTGGCAGGGCTGTGGGAAACCAATGTATACACATTGCACACTCCACTGGAGAAAATACATAGTGATACATTCTTTTGGGAGAGTGATTTAAAGGAAAAATGTCACAGGAACCATAAAATTGTATATACTTTCCAGCCAACCAATTTCACTTCAGGGAAAATATTACAATAAAATAATTCAAACAGAAAAAAAGATAAAGATATTCATAGCACTGCTGTTTATGACGGCAGGAAAAAAAGGGAAAGAATTCTGATGTTGAACAACAGGGAAATAGTTAAACTGTGTATGTGGGCAATGTAATGGAATACTAACAGCCAATTTTAATAAGTAGTAAATGGGGGTGGGTGTATGAAAGTCAGTGGAATTGCTCCATGCGCATCATTTGCCTTACAGCAACTTCATACTTATGTGCTTGGGGGGAATAAAGAAAAAGACAAGCTGTAACTAGTGCTG